GTTTCACCTAAACAGTTCTTCAAGGTAAAGGATTATCTTTTACACACACACACACACATATATATTTCACACTATACCTAAAACATTATCTCTGATATTGATCCTTTTTAAATATACCAAATTTTACAAAACATATCTCCAGTGGCAGTTACATAAATAAATACAGGTATTGACAAATGCAAAGGGCAGCTTGCCTCACTGTGAGGTACCGGTTAGTGAACTAGTCTAGCAGATTATTATTTGTCATGAGATTGACAGTCTCACAGGACAGGGGACTTCACCCTTGTGCCAGACTAGACTAAGCTTAGCAAATATCTATATTGTCAAAGCCACAAAAAAAAAAAAATTTTAAGTATTGAATAGTTTCAATTTACCTATTAACAAATCCTGATTTTCACTAATTTTTTTCTATGTAAAACCCTTTTTGATTTTAAAACTTATTTTCCACTCACCCTTTAAAAAGGAAAAACTCTTCAGATTCCATATAATCTGGCAATCAAACTTTTCCCCCACAAAACTTGAAACTAAACAAGGATAATTGTAACTTTTTTCTATTATGATGTTGCAAATAAGTAATGTATTTTTTTAATTGGATATTATTTCTTATTACAATAATTTATTGTTTATTATAAGATATATTTATTTATACAGCAAGAATTGTATCAATTGTATGCATAAAAGAATGTGTAGATACTACTAATTTTTTTTAAGCATCCAAAACACTGAAAAAAAATTACTTGCTTTTTAGTTACTTTTTCAGGACTTCATATTTTTAAAAAATATTTTTGTTTTTATAAATGAAATCAGCCCAAGCAAGGCATTAAAACCATTAGGCATGGGGGTTAATGGGTGTGAAAGAATTAGAAAACAGAAACATTATTAAAGAGCAAAAACAATGGAAGAGTATTCAGGAAGACAACAGCTAACAATGAAAATAATATGAAATACAAAAAAAATAATATGAAATACAAAAATAATAATAATAAAAAAACATAACATTAAAAAAAATTATTAATGGCCAAAATCTTTTACAAAATGTTGACAGCATATTGCATGTAATAATTTTACAATGGTACCAAGCTTTAGAATTTTGTGTTTATAAATAAAAAAAAATAAAAAAAAAATGAAAAAAAATGACTCTTATATAAAACAGAAAAGATAAAAATCACTGAAAAAAAATATTTTGTATATAGAGTCCTGGAGTCAAGATCCGATTAAAATTTTATATATTGTTTTTTTTTTTTTTTTCATTTTAGCAAAATTTTCTTTTTTTTTTTTTTTAACTTATTCAAAATCAATAAGCAGATCACTTTTCTATTTAAAAACTAAAATGAATTTCTATAGTCCCGAAGCATAACCCAGAAAACGAAAAACAAGTGATCGACTTAAAGTGTAAATCGAGAACTAAAAGAAAGAAAAAATTTAAAAAAAAAAAAAAAAAAAAAAAAAAAAAAAGTAGTTATACACCCACAGAGATACAAGCATAACTAATTCTATTTACAAATTATTTTATGACTTTACAAATAAGTATTAATTTACAATTGTAGTTTTTCAAGGAGTGGAAGATGAGGTGAAAATAGATTTTTTTTTTTACAATATTATAAAAATGTACTGATAGAAATACATTCAATGTAATCATTTTGCCAAAGTAGTTTGAGGGTGTATATAATACTTAAATTAAGGTAATAAAGAAATTTAAATTAAGAAAAAAAAACATGTGACATGAATCTTTAATTGGATTGTCATAATTAATTATACATCAAAATGTGCTAACACATGCATTGTGTGTTGTACACATGTATATCCAAAGTTATAAACACCTTTCAAAGACTGTCAAAATTTTTTTTCTTGTCTCTAAACTTTCAATATTTAAAAAATAAATAAAAATTTCTATTCACAATAATTTATACTGCAAAACCCCCATTTAATAGGAGTTAAAAAGAATTCTCAAAACACAGAAAAATTTTTTTACTCAGTTCAAAAAAAATGTATACCTGTTGTATGTACATATAATTCAATGAATATCTTGACAAGTATACATGTACACATAATATACCTACTTAGCCTAAATGGTAAGAATAAGATAATTTAGTTTTACAATTGATATATTTCTTTAATTACAAACAGTGCACATGACAATTTAAATTTAGTCAAGTGGTTGGAATAAGTAATCTGGTTTTTCTCCCAGAAAATATTGTTTTAATTCTTAACCAAGATATAAGACAAAATTAAATAATTTAACTGATTTTAATCATAAAAAGAAAAAAGCATTTTCAGGTCACAACATAGAATGTTATTAATATCTAAAACAATAACTTTTTTTTTAATTAATAGATACATCATGTAGAAATTTACTGGTAAAAAAAAAATTAAGCACAAAACAAATTATTAAAAGGGTGCAGGAGAGAGAACACATTTCAGAGCATCAGAATTCTACAATTAGTGAAAAACAAATTTTAAAAACGTGTTTCTGGAAACATCTTTCAAAGATCCACACAAAACAAATGAAATGCAAAAGTTACTTGAAACAGTATCTACAAAATTTGTTAATTCTGGAATTTTGTATCAGCCAAATTAAATAGGATTAGGTAGGTCATTGTATGTTACCAGAAGGAGGGGGAAAAAGTTTTACAAGTATATTGCTAGAGACTCAACTTACATAGAATTCTTTTTATTTTTTAATTTCAGTAATTTAATTAGATTTTTTTTTTTTTTTAATAAATTACTATTTCTGAAAATATTAAGTTTTTATTGTTCAATACATCAAAAGATCCAGTGAAAATAATTTTTTTTTCTCTCAACAATATTATTTTTTTAAGAGAGGGAGTGCAACTATTAAACTAGTTGTAAATAAAAATAATTCATAAATATGATAATGGTCAAAGTATGTATTGGTTAAAGTAAAAATAAAAGCTGGTCACAATTTCTGAATCAACCACACTATCTCCCGGATTTCTCTGCAACGCTTGAAATAACAATTTCCATATGCATATGTTGATTGAAATCTTAAGAGTAAAAAGAAAACTGAAAATTTACTGGAGACACCCTGACCTCGACATTCAATTTTCAAATCACGCAACTATTCAAAGTAAAAAAAAAACAAAAAAAAAAAAAACGTTTATAACTTCATCCGTAAGGAATTGAAATTACTATTTTAAACTAGAAGCTTTTAAATTTTATAAAGCAAAGTATCGCGCATATGCACACTTATCACTCTTAGTCTTAAAGTTAAGTAAGACTAAGAGAAATGCCGTGAATAATCACAATTAAAGGGAGGGTAGCTTTTGCACATCAGGGATAAATAAAAAGGTAAACCACGACCAATTGTAAAATTAAAAAAAGAAAAAAAATGTAAAACCTTACAAGACAGACTAACTCCTAAAACAATTTTCATTTTAATAATAATGATTAAAGTAAAAAAAAAGATACTATTAGTCGCTATATCAGCGCCAAGTGGACACTCACCGTGTAAGTCTTTCTGTCGCTAAATGAATTTTAATTTCAATGCTTTTTAGTTTTTATACCACAGGTAAAAATTCTCCAGATACAGTAAAAACTGTAATTAAAAAAAAACAAAAACTCAACAAATGTTGGTGATTGATTATCTCTCCATTAAGGATTTTAGAAGCGAAATCAACATAAAATCCACTATGAATTTTACCGCAAATATCCGTTGTTTTTTTGTTTTAAGTTAGGTAAAATAAGATCTTGTTTTAAAAGGTAAACTTATTCCGAGTTTGGCGGACAAGACAACGCGTTTTCCCCCTTCACAGCTGTATGCTTACGTTGTCAGTGGTCGAAGTGGTCGGTCTAAGACTAGAAAAAAATAATAATAAAAAAAAAACATTGGCTATCGTTGATGTTGTTATTGTTGCTGGTAGAGATAGGTGTAAAGGGGAGATGGGTGTATAGGAGTGGTAATAAGGTAAAGGAAGGATAGAGAGACAGTAAAGAAAGAGGAAGTAGAAAATTAATCGATAACAGGTTTGAGCCGATATTGATATAACATGAGAGAGAGTGAAACAGAATGTACAAAAAGGCGCAACAAGTGAAAATAAAAAAATTGTAAGAGAGGGTTCGGCGCAGTGGGTGTAAACTGTAAAACTTCATGCAAGAAAGAGAACAGAGAGGTAGAAATAAAAAAGACTGAAGACAAGAGAGAAGGTAGTGAAATTAGAGGAGAAAGCGCCAGAAAGAGAGAACAAAAGAAACTATGAAAGTGGGAGAAAACCCACTCACAAGGCAGTGAAGGGCAGGGAGAAAGAACATATAGAGGAGAAAATAAAAATAGGGGAAGGGCAGAGAGAGAGGGAGAGAGGGAAAGAGAGAATAGATACAGCGGAAAGGGAAAGAGAGAACACATACAGCGGAAAGAGAAAGAGAGAAATACATGATGAGCGTACACCCTATATAGGGTGGTAGGCAATGACATGCACGCGTACAAACGGGACCAGGGCAGAAGTAAAGAATGCATACACACGCATAGAGAGGAGAAAAGAAAAGTTTTTTTTTTCTTTTTTGCATAATAGTGCTAAAGAGATGAAATAAAAAAGTGAAAAGGGGGGGGAGAACTTTAAGACATTAGCGTTTAGGGTGCCAGTGTCAAAAAAAGGCAATGTTATGAAAATAGAGGTTTGGATAACCTTTCTCTCCTCCCACCTCTCCTCCCCAACAAAAAGTCTCCTTGCATGACAATCTGAAGTATAGCCTGAAGAGAAGGCTGGACCAAATGAGGTTCACCAGAAGAGAAATAAAAGTCATGCAGGAAGGAAAAAATAAAATAGGGTGAGAGACCAACGCGGCATTCTCCTGAATATCTGCTCGAATAGTAAAAAAGACACCTAATCAAGTTGAGACATATTTTGTCTCATTGGAAAACGGAGAATTAAAGATGCAAATAAAACATAAATCTAGAAAATTCTCTTTATTTGTTGTTATCACTGTTTGCTTCTGAAACAAACAAACAAACAAAAAAACAATAAAAATGAAATGTCAAAGAGAGAGAGAGTGTGTGTACAGAAGAAAGGAAGTACACAGGTAGAAAAGCGGGAGAGGAAGAGAAAAAAGTGGACAGGGGAGATAGGGGGCGAAGAGCTCTGGACTGAAGAGTTACGGGGGGGGCTCCGAACTGAAGAGGTGAGGGGCGAAGAGCTCCAGCCTGAAGAGGTGGAGGGGAGGGACGAAGGACTCCGGCCTGAAAGGGGGGGCAAAAGAGCTCCGGCCTGAAAGGGGGGGAGTAGCGAAGAGCTCCGGCCTGAAAGGGGGGGGGAGAAGGAAGAGCTCCGGTCTGAAAGGGGGGGGGAGAAGCAGAAGAGCTCCGGTCTGAAAGGGGGGGGGGTAGCGAAGAGCTCCGGTCTGAAAAGGGGGGAGAAAGCAAAGAGCTCCGGTCTGAAAGGGGGGGGAGTAGCGAAGAGCTCCAGCCTGAAGAGGTTGGGGGGGGTAGTGAAGCGCCCGGCCTGAAGAGGTTGGGGGGTAGCAAAGCGCTCCGGCCTGAAGAGGTTGGGGGGTAGCAAAGCGCTCCGGCCTGAAGAGGTTGGGGGGGTAGCAAAGAGCTCCAGCCTGATGAGGTGAGGGGCAAAGAGCTCCAGCCTGATGAGGTGAGGGGGCAAAGAGCTCCAGCCTGATGAGGTGAGGGGGCAAAGAGCTCCAGCCTGAAGAGATGGTAGGGTACAAAGAGATCTGGCCTGAAGAGATTGCAGGAGGCGACCCCTCACCCCCGGCCTGAAGAGATGAGGGGTGGGTGGGGATGAAGAGCTCCAGCTTGAAGAGATGAGGAGTTGGTGGGGGTCACAGCTCTGACTGGAAGAGATGGGGTGTGTGAGTGAAGACTTCTATTCCCATCTCTTCTGGCCAAAGTTCTCTAGGTTAATGGAGTGTGGTAAAAGATTTAATGCAAAATAAAAAGAAAAGAAATACTGGAGGGGAAAATATGTCTTGATTTTTTATGTGAAATTCTTTTCAATGAGTCATGAAAATCCGCCAAAAATACTTTCTTTGAAATTAACCTTTAAATGAATCATATAGGTTTTCTACTTACAAGGTTTTACTACTTAATGAGTTCCTTACTGATCAACAAGTATATCAGTCACAAAATGGATAACAATGATGCCAGAATTAGAATTATTAGAAACTTATTCTGGGCAACTGGAGATTCCAGAAAGAGCTTCAACTGTCCAGACAAATGCAGTACTGGGGTGGGTGAGAATGCTGAAGATTTTAAGAGTTATTCAATTTAGAATGAAATAATGTAAAATAATAATTTTGCATGAAAATGCAATAAAGAAAACCAAAAAATTTTCATAATCATTAAATGATAATAACAATTTACCTTATATAACTTGCTTCTGCTCTTATTTCTTTCTGACTTTATTTATTTTCATATTTACTAGCACGACATTATACAATTTAACAGTAGAGTAGCCAATAAAAAAGAAACAAAAGAAAAAAACAAAATAGGAATTATAAAAGAATTTGTGCCATGCCTGATTATCAGACTCCTGTGATCAAAATGATTTTCCAATTCAAAGTTGTTATTCATACACCACATGCACATCAAGGATAACAGCACCTTGTATTCCCAAACAGTTACCGATCTTAGTACTGACCAGGTTTGATATTCCTTAACTTTGGTGACTGTACAAGAACTAGTGTTTCAATATGATATGGCCATAAGCCCTATCAAAATGAGTTGGCATCCATCTGTCTAAAGAGACAATGATGCAGTACAGAGCACTACAGGCCTGGAAAGGAGCTATGGAGATCTTGGGCTGCCTATAAGTCAAGATCCCCATCTCAGCATTTCTAGCAGAGTCCAAAAAAGGGGATAAACCAATAAGTACTGCACTGCTGCAGGAGGCACCCATCTGCCTGAAGAGACAATGATGCAGTACAGAGCACTACAGGCCTGGAAAGGAACTATGGAGATCTTGTGTTGCCCATAAGTCAAGATCCCCATCTCAGCATTTCTAGCAGAGTCCAAAAAAGGGGATAAACCAATAAGTACTGCACTGCTGCAGGAGGCACCCATCTGCCTGAAGAGACAATGATGCAGTACAGAGCACTACAGGCCTGGAAAGGAACTATGGAGATCTTAAGCGTTGCCCCATCTCAGCATTTCTAGCAGATCCCCATCTCAGCATTCTGCCTGAAGAGACAATGATGCAGAGTCCAAAAAGGAACTATGGAGATAAACCAATAAGTATCTGCATTGCAGAGTCAAAAAGGGGATAAAACCAATACAGGCCTGCACCCATCTGCCTGAAGAGACAATGATGCAGTACAGAGCACTACAGGCCTGGAAAGGAACTATGGAGATCTTGCGTTGCCCATAAGTCAAGATCCCCATCTCAGCATTTCTAGCAGAGTCAAAAAGAAGGGATAAACCAATACAGTTTAGTACTGCATTGCTGCAGGAGGCACCCATCTGCCTGAAGAGACAATGATGCAGTACAGAGCACTACAGGCCTGGAAAGGAACTATGGAGATCTTTGCGTTGCCCATAAGTCAAGATCCCCATCTCAGCATTTCTAGCAGAATCAAAAAGGGATAAACCAATACAGTTTAGTAATGCATTGCTGCAGGAGGCACCCATCTGCCTGAAGAGACAATGATGCAGTACAGAGCACTACAGGCCTGGAAAGGAACTATGGAGACCCATAAGTCAAGATCCCCATCTCAGCATTCTAGCAGAGTCAAAAAGGGGATAAACCAATACAGTTTAGTACCCAGGAGGCACCCATCTGCCTGAAGAGACAATGATGCAGTAAGATACAGGCCTGGAAAGGAACTATGGAGATCTTGCGTTGCCCATTCAAGATCCCCATCTCAGCATTCTAGCAGAGTCAAAAGAAGGGATAAACCAATACAGTTTAGTACTGCATTGCTGCAGGAGGCACCCATCTGCCTGAAGAGACAATGATGCAGTACAGAGCACTACAGGCCTGGAAAGGAACTATGGAGATCTTGATAAGTCTCCCCATCTCATGGAGATCTTTAGTAATGTGCTGCAGGAGGCCCATCTGCCTGAAGAGAATGCAGTACAGAGCACTACAGGCCTGGAAAGGAACTATGGATCCCCCATCTCAAGATCCCCATCTCAGCATTCTAGCAGAGTCAAAAGAGGGATAAACCAATACAGTTTAGTACTGCACTGCTGCAGGAGGCACCCATCTGCCTGAAGAGACAATGATGCAGTACAGAGCACTACAGGCCTGGAAAGGAACTATGGAGATCTTGCGTTGCCCATAAGTCAAGATCCCCATCTCAGCATTTCTAGCAGAGTCAAAAAGAAGGGATAAACCAATACAGTTTAGTACTGCATTGCTGCAGGAGGCACCCATCTGCCTGAAGAGACAATGATGCAGTACAGAGCACTACAGGCCTGGAAAGGAACTATGGAGATCTTGGGTTGCCCATAAGTCAAGATCCCCATCTCAGCATTCTAGCAGAGTCAAAAAAGAAGGGATAAACCAATACAGTTTAGTACTGCATTGCTGAGCAGGCCTGAGGCACCCATCTGCCTGAAGAAAAAGAAGGGATAAACAATGATGCAGTACCTGAAGAGCACTGATGGCCTGGAAAGGAACTATGGAGATCTTGCGTTGCCCATAAGTCAAGATCCCCATCTCAGCATTTCTAGCAGAGTCAAAAAGAAGGGATAAACCAATACAGTTTAGTAATGCATTGCTGCAGGAGGCACCCATCTGCCTGAAGAGACAATGATGCAGTACAGAGCACTACAGGCCTGGAAAGGAACTATGGAGATCTTGCGTTGCCCATAAGTCAAGATCCCCATCTCAGCATTTCTAGCAGAGTCAAAAAGAAGGGATAAACCAATACAGTTTAGTAATGCATTGCTGCAGGAGGCACCCATCTGCCTGAAGAGACAATGATGCAGTACAGAGCACTACAGGCCTGGAAAGGAACTATGGAGATCTTGCGTTGCCCATAAGTCAAGATCCCCATCTCAGCATTCTAGCAGAGTCAAAAGAAGGGATAAACCAATACAGTTTAGTAATGCATTGCTGCAGGAGGCACCCATCTGCCTGAAGAGACAATGATGCAGTACAGAGCACTACAGGCCTGGAAAGGAAAACTATGGAGATCTTGCGTTGCCCATAAGTCAAGATCCCCATCTCAGCATTTCTAGCAGAGTCAAAAAGAAGGGATAAACCAATACAGTTTAGTAATGCATTGCTGCAGGAGGCACCCATCTGCCTGAAGAGACAATGATGCAGTACAGAGCACTACAGGCCTGGAAAGGAACTATGGAGATCTTGCGTTGCCCATAAGTCAAGATCCCCATCTCAGCATTTCTAGCAGAGTCAAAAGAAGGATAAACCAATACAGTTTAGTAATGCATTGCTGCAGGAGGCACCCATCTGCCTGAAGAGACAATGATGCAGTACAGAGCACTACAGGCCTGGAAAGGAGCTATGGAGATCTTGCGTTGCCCATAAGTCAAGATCCCCATCTCAGCATTCTAGCAGAGTCAAAAGAAGGGATAAACCAATACAGTTTAGTAATGCATTGCTGCAGGAGGCACCCATCTGCCTGAAGAGACAATGATGCAGTACAGAGCACTACAGGCCTGGAAAGTCAAGATCCCCATCTCATGGAGATCTTGCGCAGGAGGCACCCATCTGCCTGAAGAGACAATGATGCAGTACAGAGCACCCCTGGAAAGGAACTATATAAGTCAAGATCCCCATCTCAGCATTCTAGCAGAGTCAAAAAGAAGGGATAAACCAATACAGTTTAGTACTGCATTGCTGCAGGAGGCACCCATCTGCCTGAAGAGACAATGATGCAGTACAGAGCACTACAGGCCTGGAAAGGAACTATGGAGATCTTTAGCGTTGCCCATAAGTCAAAGATCCCCATCTCATTCTAGCAGAGTCAAAAAAGAAGGGATAAACCAATACAGTTTAGTAAGAGTGCATTGCTGCAGGAGGCACCCATCTGCCTGAAGAGACAATGATGCAGTACAGAGCACTACAGGCCTGGAAAGGAGACTAAACCAATGGAGATCTTTGCTGTCTGCCTGAAGAGACAATATGCAGTCAAGATCCCCATCTCAGCATTTTCTAGCAGAGTCAAAAGAAGGGATAAACCAATACAGTTTAGTACTGCATTGCTGCAGGAGGCACCCATCTGCCTGAAGAGACAATGATGCAGTACAGAGCACTACAGGCCTGGAAAGGAACTATGGAGATCTTGCGTTGCCCATAAGTCAAGATCCCCATCTCAGCATTCTAGCAGAGTCAAAAAGAAGGATAAACCAATACAGTTTAGTACTGCATTGCTGCAGGAGGCACCCATCTGCCTGAAGAGACAATGATGCAGTACAGAGCACTACAGGCCTGGAAAGGAACTATGGAGATCTTATAAGTCAAGATCCCCATCTCAGATTCTAGCAGAGTCAAAAAAAAGGATAAACCAATACAGTTTAGTAATGCATTGCTGCAGGAGGCACCCATCTGCCTGAAGAGACAATGATGCAGTACAGAGCACTACAGGCCTAAGGAACAAGATCTTGCCCATCTCCCCATCTCAGCATTTCTAGCAGAGTCAAAAAGAAGGGATAAAACCAATACAGTTTAGTACTGCATTGCTGCAGGAGGCACCCCCATCTGCCTGAAGAGACAATGATGCAGTACAGAGCACTACAGGCCTGGAAAGGAACTATGGAGATCTTGCGTTGCCCATAAGTCAAGATCCCCATCTCAGCATTCTAGCAGAGTCAAAAAGAAGGGATAAACCAATACAGTTTAGTACTGCATTGCTGCAGGAGGCACCCATCTGCCTGAAGAGACAATGATGCAGTACAGAGCACTACAGGCCTGGAAAGGAACTATGGAGATCTTGCGTTGCCCATAAGTCAAGATCCCCATCTCAACATTCTAGCAGAGTCAAAAAGAAGGGATAAACCAATACAGTTTAGTACTGCATTGCTGCAGGAGGCACCCATCTGCCTGAAGAGACAATGATGGAAAGGAACTAGGAGATATAAGTCAAGATCCCCATCTCAACATTCTAGCAGAGTCAAAAAGAAGGATAAACCAATACAGTTTAGTAATGCATTGCTGCAGGAGGCACCCATCTGCCTGAAGAGACAATGATGCAGTACAGAGCACTCAGGCCTGGAAAGAACTATGGAGATCTTCGTTGCCCATAAGTCAAGATCCCCATCTCAGCATTTCTAGCAGAGTCAAAAAAGGAGAAGGGATAAACCAATACAGTTTAGTACTGCATTGCTGCAGGAGGCACCCATCTGCCTGAAGAGACAATGATGCAGTACAGAGCACTACAGGCCTGGAAAGGAACTATGGAGATCTTGCGTTGCCCATAAGTCAAGATCCCCATCTCAGCATTTCTAGCAGAGTCAAAAAGAAGGGATAAACCAATACAGTTTAGTATTGCATTGCTGCAGGAGGCACCCATCTGCCTGAAGAGACAATGATGCAGTACAGAGCACTACAGGCCTGGAAAGGAACTATGGAGATCTTGCGTTGCCCATAAGTCAAGATCCCCATCTCAGCATTTCTAGCAGAGTCAAAAAGAAGGGATAAACCAATACAGTTTAGTACTGCATTGCTGCAGGAGGCACCCATCTGCCTGAAGAGACAATGATGCAGTACAGAGCACTACAGGCCTGGAAAGGAACTTGCGTTGCCCATAAGAGATCCCCATCTCAGCATTCTAGCAGAGTCAAAAAGAAGGGATAAACCAATACAGTTTAGCATTTCTAGGAGGCACCCATCTGCCTGAAGAGACAATGATGCATACAGAGCACCAGGCCTGGAAAGTTAACTATGGTCTTGCGTTGCCCAGATCCCTGAAGAGACATCTCAGCATTTCTAGGAACAGAGTCAAAAAGAAGGGATAAACCAATACAGTTTAGTACTGCATTGCTGCAGGAGGCACCCATCTGCCTGAAGAGACAATGATGCAGTACAGAGCACTACAGGCCTGGAAGGAACTATGGAGATCTTGCGTTGCCCATAAGTCAAGATCCCCATCTCAGCATTTCTAGCAGAGTCAAAAAAAAGAAGGGATAAACCAATACAGTTTAGTACTGCATTGCTGCAGGAGGCACCCATCTGCCTGAAGAGACAATGATGCAGTACAGAGCACTACAGGCCTGGAAAGCCCATAAGAAGATCCCCATCTCAGCATTTCTAGCAGAGTCAAAAGAAGGGATAAACCAATACAGTTTAGTACTGCATTGCTGCAGGAGGCACCCATCTGCCTGAAGAGACAATGATGCAGTACAGAGCACTACAGGCCTGAAAAGAACTATGGAGATCTTGCCCTATCAAGATCCCCCATCTCAGCATTTCTAGCAGAGTCAAAAAGAAGGGATAAACCAATACAGTTTAGTACTGCATTGCTGCAGGAGGCACCCATCTGCCTGAAGAGACAATGATGCAGTACAGAGCACTACAGGCCTGGAAAGGAACTATGGAGATCTTGCGTTGCCCATAAGTCAAGATCCCCAT